CCACTATTTTACTTCGGGTAAAACAGTGGACTGGTGAACGTAGGCCTTCCAGACCTCAAGTTAGAAGTTGTCCTGAACATAACACAGCCCATGTAATTACGAGTATACTGTCCGTTTTGAAAGCCCCTCCGAGTCTCTTCCGTGGAGCACAAGTCTAGTCACAAAAGAGCGATCCGATTCCGCCATTCAAGATAAAATAACGCATATAATCTAAACTAGATGCTTTTGACCTCTTGAAAATCACAAATCAACACGAAAATGACTTAGAACTTACCTAAAACCTGTCAAATCCAACGGTACATGGAAGAGTCGTGCGGCGTCAACACACAAACGTCTTGTTGATGTCGCTTGGTCGCCTCTCGCGCCGAAGCCTGGTCGGGCCCGCTTTCCCTTGACGCGTTCGGCTCGGGGGGAAAATAATTCTGAAAGATATTCATGCCACAAAAGATTAATTTCATGCCAGGATGGTATAAGATTAATCATTATGAACTACGTTATACCAAGCCGCCACACAGGACAGTTCTTTTAGACATTTAGATTTTTGATGCGAGAAATCTCTATTGTCTTTGTAAACTTGTGTTCAAGGTTAAGAAATTGAAGATATGCAGATAAACTTATACACCCGTATAAATCGACAACACAGGGGGAATAGCTTATTTATGCCATATTATCGAGTTATATTAAACAAATATCGCATAACAGTTTGCGTTATACATAGTTATTCAAGGGCATCGATTTATTTACCTATTTCCGAGTACATGTGCAACAACAAGCAAGTTTGAACTGACATGTGCAACTGAGCACGTTAGTGTACAAGTTGCTCGCCTCGCTGGTCATGCAAGACAAGAGCTGCAGCTTGAACCCCTCAAAGCGTTTAGCTGCAATTCCCAGCCTGCAACTTCCTTCCCAGGATTCCCAATGCAGGAAGTGAATAAACTTTGCTGCCATTAGGCGCTCTGCTTTTCGCTTCGGATAAGTTTCCTGCGCGTCCCCTCGTCTCTTCCCATGAGGGAGAGCGAGAGAGATCGCCTCTCATGAGAGCGATGAGACATTGACCTTCCTCGAGCGAGTTAGACAAGCCCTTAGCCTTAGAATTAGACCGCCGAAGAGCCCCAAAGGCTGCAACTTGGCTCCCTTCGGCGCCGAGCGAAGGGGCGTCGGGGCGCCCTGGGCCTCCTTTTCGGCTCCGAGGCCCTCGCGCCACAGCAAGGGCCTCGGCCCCCCCTTTCGCGGAAATAAATCGCCATCAAAGCATTTCTCTTTATTCATCTCCGGAAGAAGTTAGTCATAGTGAAGGGTAAATAACGCAGGATAAGGGCCGTGACCGCGCGAGGGGGCGCGCGTTGTGGGATTGGATCGCGCGCCGAGGGGATCGGGGCGGCGGAGAAGGGGATCGGGGCGGCCTCCGCGCGCCGCGACGCTCACGTGTCCCGCCGCCGCGCCTTTCCGGGCCTCCCCGGGCGCGCGGGTCTGGCGCCGATGGTCGCAGCGAGCGAGTCTGGCGAGGCGGCGAGAGAAAGCACCATGCACATTTGCGGTTCCGGGCGCCCCGAGCACCTCTCCAACGTCCCAGCGGAGCGAGTATCGGCGCGAGTGCAGTGCTAGTGGCGGCGAGCGAGTGCGAGTGGCGCGGCGAGTGCGAGGGAGGCGCTGACGGCGGCGGCGAGCAGGAGCGAGCGGAGGCCAGGCCAGGCAGGCAGGCAGGGAGGAGCAGGGCGAGAGGCAGGGAGGCAGGGAGGCAGGGAGAGGCAGGGAGAGGCAGGCAGGGACGCGGGGAACGAGGCAGGGAGGCAGGCAGGGAGGCAGGAGCGAGCGAGGCCCGGCCGGCCTGTTGGGATCCCGAGGCGCTCGTCACCATGAACGGCCTCAGCCTGAGGGACATCTGCTGCCTGTTCTGCTGGCCGCCGTGCCCCTCCAGCATCGCGGCCAAGATGGCCTTCATCCCGCCCGAGGCCACCTACAGCTTCAGTGCCGATGAGACTGGGTCCCGGCACGGCCTGCACCTCACGGAGAAGGCCGAGTGGCAGTTCACGGACAAGGAGAAGGAGGCCATCGAGGTCTTCTACACGCGCACCAACCGCGGCAACAAGATCGCCTGCATGTTTGTGCGCTGCTCACCCAACGCGCGCTTCTGCATCCTGTTCTCCCACGGCAACGCGGCCGACTTGGGGCACATGAGCAGCTTCTACCTGAGTCTGGGCACGCGCATCAACTGCAACATCTTCAGCTACGACTACTCCGGGTATGGCGTCAGCACGGGCAAGCCGTCGGAGAAGAACCTGTACTCGGACATTGATGCGGCCTGGCACGCCCTGCGCACGCGTTACGGCATTTCGCCCGAGAACATCATCCTGTACGGCCAGAGCATCGGCACGGCGGCCACTATAGACCTGGCCTCGCGCTACGAGGTGGGCGCCGTCATCCTTCACTCCCCCCTCATGTCCGGCATCAGGGTGCTGTTCAACACCAAGAGAACGTGGTTCTTCGACGCATTCCCAAGGTGAGCACAGGGGCCGCAAGCGGGGCAAGGGGCAGGGGGCAGGGGGTAGGGGGCAGGGCATGGGGGCATTGGAAAATGGGTGAGGGGCAGGAGGGGCGGGGGGGCAAGCTGAAAAGGGGTCCTCGTCCCTTACTGTCTTTTTCTTCCTATGTAATGGTAGTTACTATTACTTCCTCTGTATTAGACAAGGATGTAGGGGCCTTGAATATTATGTTATGTTTTTTTCTTTTCTTTTCTGAAGAAGTTACTGAACTTGGAGAAAAATACCGTCTGTATGTTACACATGAAAAGCTTAATGTATTATGTGAAACAATTATTAATTAGTAATCTTTAATTTTTGATAACTAATAGGATAGTTTCCATGTATGACTTACCATAGTGACAGGAAAGGCTTTGCTTAGAATGTGATAGGAAGTAAAATATGTTTCGAAGGCATCCTCGTGTCCAGTTTGATTAATACATACCAACAAATCTTCTTAAAACGATCCAGTCCAGATTTTGTCTTGCCTGATTATATGTAGCGGCCTTTGCCTGTGCGTTAAGTGTTAAGGCTGCAGTCATTGCATGACGCTGTGCCACTGTTGTGTTGTTTTCCACCCATTGTAGATCATGATAAAGTAGATCATGATAAATGTAAATTTACAGAGAATACAACCAATGTATTGATGAAAAACAAATATTTGAAAGCCATTGTCCTTGCTTTGTAATCATTAACTGATAATATAAATCTTTTTCATTGGAAGTTGCAAGAATTGACTCAAGGAATATCTGAAGTTTGTCTATAACTCTCCTCCCCTAGCATTATATATCTTGCTTTTCTGTTAATCACATGTTTTGTCAACTCAATTCAATCCATCTTAAATTCATGATTAGACAATAGACATCTAGACAAAAGAATGATCTCCCACAAAGTTTGAAGAAATGCTGTGTACGAGGCAGCCCCATCATATAGGCAAAGAAAGTAGATAAAGTCAGTCAACTTCAGTATATAGGAAAGGGTTATCAAGGTAATTTGTACAGAGGAGAGGCACAGATGTTCTCAAGATATGTGTATTGGCTCTCATAATGGGACTTAGCAATTGTCTTGAATGGGACCATATTAAGTAATTTTGTGGCCTTCAGCTTCCACTAAGTGTCTTGAAATATCTACTACAGATGTGAATATCTAGATTTCCCAGGTATTTTTTCAGTGTATTTAAATCTAGACCAAATTCTATCTTGTAAGAATATATTTATGGAAGTTTGTTGGACTCTTGTGCAGTACAAAAGATTACATTGCATGTTGTTAACCTTTATAGTAAATTTTGTTTCATATGCATCAATAATTCTCATTCCTTAATCTTTATAAGATTAAGGAATGAAGGATTGCTTTGACAAATTAAATTTGTGGTTGTTTTTCTCTGAGTTGTATCTGTTCTGAGTTTTGATTTCTTGTCAGTCTGGAAAGATGTGTCATTGGTGTGTATTGCATCAAAAATGTACTAAAGAAAAAAAAGTCAGTGGCAATGGACAATGAAAATTGAAAAATTATTTAAGACTTCATCCCATCCCAGTTGTAGTATGCATAATAATAAGGTGCAGATGTCCTTTAGGGTAATCCACAGATAAGCCTTCCTGGTTATTAACTCAAGACCTTTGCAACCAAGTAATCTAGTCAACCTTATGGAGTTGATATTCACTGTCTGAGGGTGATAGAGAAATACCATAGATGCAGATTTTAATTTTCCTTAATGCTCACAAACAGTAAGGTAAATAAAAGATTGAGTGCTTATAACAGAACAGTTAGTGGTGTTATACAAGGCCCTATGGTATGTCTTGTAAAGGCTACATTATTGACATTCCTCTTCATATTGATGTGTGTGGTGGCCTTGGAACTAGTGAGTGCTGGCTCCTGGCTACATAAATCTAGGTTCAAGTCTGTGGGTGGAATGACTATGAGCTAACTATTGACAGCTTCTATGATCAAAGCTTATTTTATTCCCTAATTTGATAGTCGGCGGTAGACACCCCTGCCCTAGGGTGGTAGATTGCACCATCACACTGGTAATACGCACTCAGAATGTTGTTTTGCTCAATACTTCATTAAGTGCATCAAAAAGTATCTATAATGAAAACTCTCCATGCCCCTAATTTTCTTCTTGGTGCCTCCCATATACACAACCCCACCCCTCCCTCACCCCCTGGATCTGTTGCTTATGCTGTATTAACTATTTTTATTTGCATCACTGCTATTTTTTTTATAATTTCATTAATAAGGTTGTAGGTTGTAGATTTTTATAGGTATTAATCTATGTGCTCTTCTAAATTTATCCAGCATGTGTTTATAAGCTTGGATTTCAACATAAAAAAGTTACTAGTTTTTTTTTTTTTTTTTTTTTTTTTTTTTTCTTAGTTCTGTATGATCATATCCTTATGAAGAATAATGCTAATTCGTAAACCTTGTCTTAAATCACTGATGTTTTACACATTTATAAAGTCTTCCATCCTTTTAGTCCTGAAATCCACCCCAGGGAGATAACCATTCTTGATGCAATATATTGACTAGTGATTATAGGGGAGTAAGCAGCCATGCAAGAACCCTCACATCACAGTTGTCGCATATGCTTGGCAGCACTTAACATTCAGTATGTAGTGTTTGCTTGTATATATTTATGGTGTCCTTGAGTTGTGTTGACAACAGGTGTGAGTAAGAGGTAGAGGAATACAGAAAAGTAATGTATGGTGACACTGTATATGTATAGGGGTGTATGGGTGTGTGGGTGTGGGTGTATGGGTGTCTGTGGGTGTATGGGTGTCTGTGGGTGTGGGTGAAATAGTGGTTACTTTGGTAAAGGTAATAAAGATGTCCTGTTATTTCAAAATATGTACATCCAGAAAGTATTTTATTATTATTATTTTTTAGTAAAGTCTTTGTGATGGGTTTATTTCCTGTTGGAATTTTGTGGATATGAGTTTGTTTTAGTTAACTTAGGTGAAATGTTGTGATAGTTGAATGTTGTCATGCCCTCTGTGTCACATAAACAAGGTTAATCAATATCAAGGTCAGCTGAATTTTTTTTTTCTCTCTCTATATTATATATATATATATATATATATATATATATATATATATATATATATATATATATATATATATATATATATATATATATATATATATATATATATATATATTATATTTTGCATCCTCCTCCTCCTCCTCCTCCTCCTCCTCCTCCTCCTCCTCCTCCTCCTCCTCCTCCTCCTCCTCCTCCTCCTCCTCCTCCTCCTCCTCCTCCTCCTCCTCCTCCTCCTCCTCCTCCTCCTCCTCCTCCTCCTCCTCCTCCTCCTCCTCCTCCTCCTCCTCCTCCTCCTCCTCCTCCTCCTCCTCCTCCTCCTCCTCCTCCTCCTCCTCCTCCTCCTCCTCCTCCTCCTCCTCCTCCTCCTCCTCCTCCTCCTCCTCCTCCTCCTCCTCCTCCTCCTCCTCCTCCTCCTCCTCCTCCTCCTCCTCCTCCTCCTCCTCCTCCTCCTCCTCCTCCTCCTCCTCCTCCTCCTCCTCCTCCTCCTCCTCCTCCTCCTCCTCCTCCTCCTCCTCCTCCTCCTCCTCCTCCTCCTCCTCCTCCTCCTCCTCCTCCTCCTCCTCCTCCTCCTCCTCCTCCTCCTCCTCCTCCTCCTCCTCCTCCTCCTCCTCCTCCTCCTCCTCCTCCTCCTCCTCCTCCTCCTCCTCCTCCTCCTCCTCCTCCTCCTCCTCCTCCTCCTCCTCCTCCTCCTCCTCCTCCTCCTCCTCCTCCTCCTCCTCCTCCTCCTCCTCCTCCTCCTCCTCCTCCTCCTCCTCCTCCTCCTCCTCCTCCTCCTCCTCCTCCTCCTCCTCCTCCTCCTCCTCCTCCTCCTCCTCCTCCTCCTCCTCCTCCTCCTCCTCCTCCTCCTCCTCCTCCTCCTCCTCCTCCTCCTCCTCCTCCTCCTCCTCCTCCTCCTCCTCCTCCTCCTCCTCCTCCTCCTCCTCCTCCTCCTCCTCCTCCTCCTCCTCCTCCTCCTCCTCCTCCTCCTCCTCCTCCTCCTCCTCCTCCTCCTCCTCCTCCTCCTCCTCCTCCTCCTCCTCCTCCTCCTCCTCCTCCTCCTCCTCCTCCTCCTCCTCCTCCTCCTCCTCCTCCTCCTCCTCCTCCTCCTCCTCCTCCTCCTCCTCCTCCTCCTCCTCCTCCTCCTCCTCCTCCTCCTCCTCCTCCTCCTCCTCCTCCTCCTCCTCCTCCTCCTCCTCCTCCTCCTCCTCCTCCTCCTCCTCCTCCTCCTCCTCCTCCTCCTCCTCCTCCTCCTCCTCCTCCTCCTCCTCCTCCTCCTCCTCCTCCTCCTCCTCCTCCTCCTCCTCCTCCTCCTCCTCCTCCTCCTCCTCCTCCTCCTCCTCCTCCTCCTCCTCCTCCTCCTCCTCCTCCTCCTCCTCCTCCTCCTCCTCCTCCTCCTCCTCCTCCTCCTCCTCCTCCTCCTCCTCCTCCTCCTCCTCCTCCTCCTCCTCCTCCTCCTCCTCCTCCTCCTCCTCCTCCTCCTCCTCCTCCTCCTCCTCCTCCTCCTCCTCCTCCTCCTCCTCCTCCTCCTCCTCCTCCTCCTCCTCCTCCTCCTCCTCCTCCTCCTCCTCCTCCTCCTCCTCCTCCTCCTCCTCCTCCTCCTCCTCCTCCTCCTCCTCCTCCTCCTCCTCCTCCTCCTCCTCCTCCTCCTCCTCCTCCTCCTCCTCCTCCTCCTCCTCCTCCTCCTCCTCCTCCTCCTCCTCCTCCTCCTCCTCCTCCTCCTCCTCCTCCTCCTCCTCCTCCTCCTCCTCCTCCTCCTCCTCCTCCTCCTCCTCCTCCTCCTCCTCCTCCTCCTCCTCCTCCTCCTCCTCCTCCTCCTCCTCCTCCTCCTCCTCCTCCTCCTCCTCCTCCTCCTCCTCCTCCTCCTCCTCCTCCTCCTCCTCCTCCTCCTCCTCCTCCTCCTCCTCCTCCTCCTCCTCCTCCTCCTCCTCCTCCTCCTCCTCCTCCTCCTCCTCCTCCTCCTCC